AAAGGGGGTGAAAAGAACCCTGTTGGCCTTGTTTGGGAGACTTTTGTGGCAGAGAAGCTAAACTAGCATATGACAAATGAGGAAAAACATTTTCTTAAAGTTGACATTCAGGTTGGGTCTTTAAAGATAACAGGAACACACCAGCTACAGGACTGAAGATGCTTTTGGAGTACAAAGACCATCTGGGTGGATTTTCTCCTGATCCACTCTACAGTCTTAGGATGATTTATGACCACAGATTCCAAGCAAGAATCCTCACATGTGCCAACACTGCATGGCACACACCAGCAGATCCCATCACGTTTTATGATTATTTTAAAAAGCCAATTCATTTATAGAAGATTCTATTAAAATGCAGAGTTGCATCCGTGTGGTTCTCTCAGAAAGTGGAGGAGACGCGGTGTTTAGAGACCCACAGTGTTCATTAGCAGTTGAAATATAGCCAGGGTTTTAGGGCAAAAGCCCCAGCCAGCAGCTGCAACAGTCCAGGGTTAGCTACCCCGTCCAATACACCAATGAAAGAGCTGAGTAATCGAGATGGGGAGATGGCTCTGTCAGTAAAGGGTCTGCTGCACAAGTCTGGGGATCTGATTTTGAACTCGTGTGAATACATACAAATCTCAGCATGGTTTCTGTTGGGAATCCCAGTGCTGGGGAGGCAGAAGCTGAAAGATCCAGTCTCTGGGGGTTGCTGACTAACCAGCCTAGCCTAGTGAACAAACTATGAGATGGGTGAGAGACCCTGCCTCCAAAGCAAGGTGGAAAGCACCTAAGACACAATACTGAAGATTAACCTCTGGCCTCCATACGCACATACGCATTGCTTTGCATTTATACGCACACGCATGCGTGCACATAGACAAACACACATAAAAAGGAAAATAGACATGTAATAGTGAACGGCAGAGAAAGGAGGTTGAATCAATGTCTTTTGAGTATTGAAGTGAACTTTAAGTTAAATAGAAGCTAGAGGTATGCATAATTAAATAGCCTCTTCCAAGGTGCCATCTTGCCCACCACTGGCCTATCGTTGTCTCAGCTGTGGGGTGATGTTATCCCTGGAAGTCACCAGTCTCCAAGATGGTTGCTTCAGCTCCGGGATGCAGTCTTACTCTGGGGGACAGTTATCCTCATCCGACTCTATTGCATCTTTACTCTTATTAATATAAAAAGTTGTCTGAGGTGGCCGCTATTGCACAATGGGGTGACGGCCCATTATGTCATCAGCCCATGATTGGTTAGGTAGGCAGATGCAAGATGAAATCAGAGATGCCTAGCCTTCATCTATCTTTTAGTTACCTTGTGAGCCCAAGTGAGGATTCAATGCTGGGATGTTCAGTTGTTGTTTGTTTATTTGGGGCTTAAAAAATAAAAAGCAAAAACAGCTTTAAAGAGCTATCACATGAAGGTGCAGGTTGAAAACGTCAAGTCCCCATTTTCTCCCCCAAAGGACATGCATGCCAAAGGATGGAAACCAGGAAGTGTTCTCAGGCCAAGCACAGAACAGGAAAACCTCACAGATACCAAATGTGCCTGCCTTATAACCCAGCTTTGCCCATGACACCAGTGCCCTTAAACACACAGACCTAGACGGTATGAACACATCTCTGGCTGTAACCCTGAGGACAAGAAGTCACCAAAAGTTTGAAATTGCTTTCCTGCACACTAGAACAAAGGTGGCTTAGGATCAGAAATGACATCAAAAGTCTGAAGATGAATCAAGAGCTTCTTCACACCCCTCAGGCCATGGCTGAGATTCCCAACACCAATCAGTGTTATTTTAGCAGATACCAACAGCTTGTGGGTCTGTTTACAAACACTGGAAGACAGTGAGAGAGTTCTAACATGCTGTCTGGAGCTTGCCAGCATTATAACTCCTGGCAATCCACCAAGGGAAACTGTACTGAAATCCCACCGTGATCTGCATTGCCCTGCCTCCCCCGATGGTCTAGCACCTTTTCATGCCCTTCTCATCACATTTCCTTTTAGGTGAATTCCAATTCACTCCTTCTATCCAGCTTCTTCAGTCAGAGACTCTCTGTTTTCTACTAGTGCAGAAGGATGCTTTGTCTACGAGAGAAATTCAGGACCCATCCTGGCTTGTCTCCTAATGTCATGTAACGGTCGTCTGCATAGTAAACCAGAGGTTGTCCATCTTAAGACAAATTCCTCATTCCAAAGTTTTAATGAGTATTCTAAATTTTCTTCTACTTGAACTGAAAAGTTTATTTTGGCCACAGTCGGCTGTTGCTAGGGGTAACCAGTGAGTAGTCAGTTAAAGAATGTCAGGTGATCGATAGCCATCTCTCCTGGCTGGCCATTACTGGGAGCCCACGGGGAAGGGAAAATGTAGAGAAATGAGATACTTAAGTTCTGGAATCAAATTACTACAGTTGAGAATTGTCACAGGTCAACAAAAAAGGAGGAGTTTGACAAAATGGTGCATCCCTGGCTCATACTACCCCGAGTGACTCTGATTCAGAAATCTAATGGGGTCCTCATGCCCACCTGCTACAGATGGCTATTCCCTCCAGACTGCAAGTACGGTAGTACCTCTGCCCAGAACCCTCCTCTCTGTTAACTCTGCCAGATGAAACTCCTCCCTTGGGCCCTTCCTACATCTTTCAGCCCCAGCCTCCACCTCACCAACCCCACACTGGGTATCACCTCTTCAGAGAAGTCAAAACCTACATATTCCTCAGTCTAGGAAGGTTCTTCGACCATCCAGATGAGAGTCCCTCCCCTTTGCCCCACCAGCTCTTAGACTTCCCTGACCCGTGTCCGTCACATTCTCCTGTGTCTACCACACAGACCCAGCTGGTGAGCCAGCAGCAGGGGCTGAGAGGAACAACCCCCATCTAAGAACAGAAGCTCTGTTGTAGGTGAGATTCTATGGAAGAGCATGGGGTAGTACAGAGAAAAGTCCCTGCTGGGAGGAAGAATCACTGGGGTCCAGTGTTTGGTTTGGAGCACTGGAGACTGAACCCAGAGCTCTTATGTATTAGACACGTGCTCTACCACTGAGCTGTATCCCCAGCCTTCATTTCATTTTTTTTTTAATTTTGAGGCAGGGTCTCACTAGTTTCCCAGGTTAGTCTTGAATTCACTCTGTAGCTCAAGTAAGACCTGAACTCAAAACACCCCTGCATCAGTGTCCTGGTGTCAAATCAAAACAACTCTCACCTCAAAGGGGACAAGAGGTAGCTTATTCTGGAGCCAAATATGAGTGACCACAGCTGGTGGATATGAATTCAGTTTGCCCAAGCAACAGGTTACAGAGTTTAAATGTTTTCCTGAAGCTTTATCGATACAAAATGAAACAAAGTAGTAAATCCAGACAAGAATTAGTGGGGGTGGCTTGTAGTAAAGTGGGGGGGGGGTTTCTTGCTCTGGGCTCCCAATGCTGTGTGATGAGATGCTTCACTTTGGAGCTGGCAGAAGCTAGTGCTCTGCTAATTGGACGCATTTCCAAAGTTCCATGTGATAGCCACAGAACATTACATCATACACAGAATCGGGCATGACTCTATATATGGTCTAAGCAGAGCCAAAGACAGGCCAGGAGATGTGGCTTGATTGGTAGAGTACCTCCCTGGCACACATGATGCCCGTGGTTCAATCCCCAGCACCACATACACAAGGCGTGGTGACATGTGCCCATAATCCCTACAGCCAGGAGACAAAGGCAGGAGGATCAGAAGTCTAAGCTTAGCCTCGGATATGTAGTGAGTTCAAAGCCAGCCTGGTGTATGTATATATATATATATATATATATATATATATATATATATATATATATATTTGAGACCCTGTATTCAAGAAAATATAGTAACCCAAGATAATTTGGTCATGAATCTGCACTTTCCAGCTCTCCACAAACAAACATCTGCTCACCAACCTACAACACTACCAGGCCCGGATGCTGATGCAACTTAGAAAGTAAGAATGATCAATGCCCCCCCCCCCCAGCTTCAGAAATCATACCCTGACCAATAGGAGCCATCAACATTGAAGCAGGACATGCCTCTCCCATAGCAAAAAGATTGGGACTCCTTGAAGAACCAGGGAATGGTTGGCAATAAGCTATTTTTAAATTAAGGCATCATATTGTGTCTTAGACATACTACATTGCATAGTTAATGAACTATTAGTGAAGGTGTGGTTTTTATATGTTCTTAAAAATAAAAAAAAATGATGTAACACAAAGTGTCGTGTTACTTGCTTAACTGTTGAGTTTCTGAATGAAGCCTGAAATATTGCCAACCGGTGTGTACAATTCTCTGATTTCCAGTTCTCCACACCAGTTCTGGTTATGAGGCAGAGGCTGGAGCAGCCCCTCTCTTGCTGCCTTCTGTATCCCTTACACCCAGTGCAGACCTGACACATAGCAGTTTTGTTTTTCAAAGCCCAAATCAACCCACAAAGGCATTCACGCAGGAATGAATACGATCCCTCTTTACCTGCACGAGCTCAGGGGAGCAGTCCGGCCTGCAGAGGGCGCCAGTCCGCTTCCACATCTTCCCAGTGGAACGGAACCCAGAGCCCGGACCTGCTGCTGTCAGTCAGAGGGTGCTAGCTGCTCAGTGGTCATTTTGCTGCGCTGGAGATGAAATAGGAGTTCCGATGCATAAAATCCGAGGGCTTTCTTCCTTCTCACATCTAGCGCCAAGTCCCACATCCCCTACCTCGCTATGAGTAGAGCTGTAACTGTAGCAACCGGTGTCAGGTTGGGCTCTGAGAGGAGCCCAGGAGAGAGAGGGGGTGAGAGCGACAGGGGATGAGGCAGGCAGAGCAGATCTGCGCTGATTGTTGGAGCCGCAAGGAAAGTTCTTTCTATGTCTCCAAGTCCTCCCCCCCCCCCCTCTCTCTCTTTCTCTCTCTCTCTCTCTCTCTCTCTCTCTCTCTCTCTCTCTCTCTCCTAAAGGCTAGACTGGGCAGCATCCACAAGAGAAACACCTAGAAGGAGAGTGTTTCCCAGCAGCTTGCTCAGGACCCTCAGGAGCCGCAGCTGGGACTCAGGCCTCTGTTAACCATGAACTCTTCCTGTTGCCTGTTCTCTGCTTATCCGATGCTGCCTAACCTCTCAGAGCACCCTGCAGCCCCTTCTGCCAGCAACCGGAGCGGTAGCGGGTTCTGCGAGCAGGTCTTCATCAAGCCAGAGGTCTTCCTGGCACTGGGCATTGTCAGCCTGATGGAGAACATCCTGGTGATCCTGGCTGTGGTCAGGAATGGCAACCTGCACTCGCCCATGTACTTCTTTCTCTGCAGCCTGGCTGCAGCCGACATGCTGGTGAGTGTGTCCAACTCCCTGGAGACCATCATGATCGCCATTATCAACAGCGACTCCCTGACCTTGGAGGACCAGTTCATCCAGCACATGGATAACATCTTCGACTCTATGATCTGCATCTCCCTGGTGGCCTCCATCTGCAACCTCCTGGCCATCGCCGTGGACAGGTATGTCACCATCTTCTATGCCCTTCGTTACCACAGCATCATGACCGTGAGGAAGGCCCTCACCCTGATCGTGGCCATCTGGGTCTGCTGTGGCATCTGCGGTGTGATGTTCATCATCTACTCCGAGAGCAAGATGGTCATCGTGTGCCTCATTACTATGTTCTTCGCCATGGTGCTCCTCATGGGCACCCTGTACATCCACATGTTCCTCTTTGCCAGGCTCCACGTCCAGCGCATTGCTGCACTGCCGCCAGCTCATGGGGTGGCCCCGCAGCAGCACTCGTGCATGAAGGGGGCTGTCACCATCACCATCCTGCTGGGGGTGTTCATCTTCTGCTGGGCACCTTTCTTCCTCCACCTGGTTCTCATCATCACCTGCCCCACCAACCCTTACTGCATCTGCTACACGGCCCATTTCAACACCTACCTGGTCCTCATCATGTGCAACTCTGTCATCGACCCCCTCATCTACGCCTTCCGCAGCCTGGAGCTGCGCAAAACATTCAAGGAGATTCTCTGCGGCTGCAATGGCATGAACTTGGGCTAGGGTACCAGCGGAGGTGCTCCATGTCTAGCCAAGGGGCTTAGAGACAAAAAACAACAGTCAGAAGGGACATACAGAATGTCGACAGCTGTGACTGTGTTTGGCTTCATCTGTAAGCTGGTGGCCCTTGGCAAAGGGAAGATGACAGAGTATAGGCTGTCTGTGAAGATCTACGCATGGGTAAGTCAGGGTCTGATCTCCCACATGGTCCCTGGAAGAAACAGCGAAGGCTGCCCTGGGTGTCGTCTGTGTTCACTGCTGGGCACCCAGGGTTCTTGATTCCTGCCTGCTCCTCTGCTTTGTGCCAGTAACTGTGCTCCAAGCCAGCCATCCAAGAGGGCTCTTGTGACCAGAACGCGTGCTCAGATCTCTGGCAAGCAAACCTGCTCAGAGCTACCACCTTCAGCTGTCTGCTACATGGAGAGCTTTGCACGCATTCTGAGAGAGACTGCGTTTCCATTCATGTAGTTACCACTGTAAAAACGATCTGATGCTCATTTCTCCCTTCCAGGACTCACATTCATGCCAGCCTCCCCCTCCCCCTGCAAAAATAGCATGGACACACGACTCCCTTCTTTCTGCGCTATTGTCAGGGTTGTGATTATTGTTGGGGTTTCATTCATTAAATCCGAGTTTCAAAACCTAGTAAATCAAAGTGCTATGGCCAGTGAGAGGTCCTTGCTGCATCCTTGGACTTTGCTGCCTGATCATATCAAGGTAGATGCTACTCAGAAAAAAAAGGGGGGGATCTCTACTATTGCTTGTCTGCTTGCAGGAGGGTGAGCATTTCATTACAAACCGCTTTGCTGTCATTGATGATGGCTCGAGCAGTTGGGTCTGCTTCCAGATCCCTTCCTTCCTTCCTTCCTCCCAAGCTCGTTTCCCCCTCCTGGTAACTATACGTCCATCAAGTAGTTATTTAAACTATCCATGGGAGAGGTTGTGTTTCATCCCTTTTTGCCCGCGATAAGTTCAGCTAGTGCCTCCCCCTCTGTTTGTGGTTTCCTCCTCTCCAATACACAGGGTGGAGGGATGTGCTTGAACTGCTCCTGCTAACATGATAGTACGCATCGTTTGTTCCTCGCTTTGATTGTGATGCTCAGAGATAATAAAGGCTTCAGCTTCTGTGACCACTGAACACGTGTGATACTGTGCTGCGGCCCTGGGTCATGCTGTGCCTCCCGCACATGGACACAGTACAGGATCTAAGTGTGTGGTATTAAAATAAAAGTGTGTTTAGGGCTGGGGTGGATAGATTGGTAGTTAAGAGCACTGGCTGCTCTTGCCCGAGCACCTCCATGGTGGCTCACAAACATCTGTAACTCCAGTTCCAGATCTGACACTCTCTTCTGGACTCCAAGGACAGGGCATGCAGGTGGTACACAGACGTGCATTCGGGCAAAAGACCAATATACATAAATAAAAATAAATAAATCTTAAAAGTAACATTAGTGGGAAAGCCAGTGTTGCCAAGTTCAATTCACTTCAGCCAAACTAAAAACTCTCCTTTTTAGTCTCCCAAACCTCCAGGCCTCTGGCTCTTCAGCCACTGTCAGTTCTCACTATTTTAATTAACTCACTAAATAAAAAAAAAAAATGGTTGCTACTCAGGAAGCAAATCTGGAAAACGGAAAATTGAAACGATAACGACCAGCTATAGGAATTGCAATGTCATTGCTCTACATAAAAAAGATAAAGATCACTTGCTTCTGTTTTTGGATCATTTCTCGCATTGTTTCATATTTGCCTGTCAGAAAACCTTTAAGTGGTGTCATTTTGGCTGTGAACACATGTGGTCCTGTGGGGTTTAAAGGATGCTGAGGATGTGGGGCATGTCCTCTGTCCCCGTGCTGACATCTTTTGGCACCAACATGTTGCTGTCAATGGATTTCCACAATCAAATGGGCCCTAGTTCTCACTGTGAGCATCAGTTTTGGAGTATACTCTGACAAGAGCACCCCAAGAGTCCCCCTCTTCCTCAGGTGTACACTGGTTTTGTAAGTCTAAGTGGGGTCCTGAGAGAGTATTCTGCTGTGTCTGGCTCCCCCGGGGATTTGGCTGCTGGTCGGAGGACCACATTTCAGTAAAGTGGGTGCAGAAGACTTTCAAACAAGCCTGGCGCAGGACCTGCTGACCTGTGCCAAGAGCTGAGAAAGAACTTTCTAGGCACCTACTGCTCGGACCCTTGCAACAGCCTACAAGACAATGCTGTGACTGCCTGTGGGTTACATTGAGATCTCTGCCATTCAGGTTAAAGGTATTTCCGGGAGAACTTGGCAGACAGGGGAAGACAGAGTCTTACCTGCAGCTCTGCAGCCCCTGTCACTTCATACACCCTGCTGTGGTTCCACGTGAAATGTCCCCCACAGCTCCTGTGTTTATACACTTGATCCCCAGTTGGTAGGTGCTATTTTGGAAGATTGTCTTAACACTGGATGTCTCAAATTAGGGCCTAATTGGAGGAAGTAATTTGGAAGCCCAGTCCCAATTCCTGTCCGTTCCTTCCTGACTGTGGAGGACGCATGGCTAGCTACCTCAGCCACCTGCCACAGTGACTCTCCCACCATGATGGAGCCTGCACCCTTTACCTAGGGAGAAAAATAACCCCATCCCTTATGTTGCTTTTTGTTAAGTGTTTGGTCACGGCAATGGGCAAAGTAACCAGTGCGTGAGCCACAGTACCCTCTTCGTGGAAGCTGGAGGGGTGGCTGGATTAGACCAGAATGGCATTAAAGGTTTGTGCTCTTGCAGAAGAAGGCTCTAACACAGCCCCCCACTTCCTGAATGCTCGATGAGTTTCCAGAAACATTAGTTAGGATAAAGGGATACAATTAATTATTTACTTAGTACAATTTTCCGAAATCGTATGTGGACCCATGAAGCACGAAAGAGGTGAGTTGGGGTCTCGGCAGGCTTTCACTGGCTTCCTCTCCTCGGGGAAACAACAATGGAAGTTGGGGGTGCTGCTGGCCCTGTCTCCTTCTACAATCTATCTCAGATCTTTATGAGGGGACCCATGGAATGCTGGGACTGGGGGAGTAATATGCACCACCCCACCCTGTTTAGAGTACCCATGGCAGGACTCTACCTGAACCAAGGAAGGTGCTCTCTCTCTCTCTCTCTCTCTCTCTCTCTCCCTCCCTCCCTCCCTCCCTCCCTTCCCTCACACTCCCTCTCTTTCCCTCTCTTTCTTTCTCTCTTTACATACACACATATATATTTTTAAATTTGTATATTGGAAGTGGGTGTATGTAATTTTCTGTGTGGGGCCACCCACCTACACAGTAAACACTGAAGGTGATTGTGGCCTTCCTCTTAACATGCAATTTCAACACAATCTTTTCCATTTTTCTGTTGAACTGAAGTTAAAGTAAATGACTTTTAGTGGATGCTAACCAAGAGGAGCCCTGAAGGTAAGGACCGCCACATCCTAGTCCAGGTAACTGAGGTAATAGACAATGGCTTTCCTTTGGTGCCAGGGATATATATGTATGTGTGTGCATGTGTGCGCATGTGTGTGAGTATATATGTATGTACATATATGTGTATGTTTATATATATATATATATATATATATATATATATATATTCTCCCTCCTCTTCTCCCTCTTCCCCACCTCCCCTCCCCCTCCCTCCTTCCCTCCAACAAAAGGCAATGGAAGTCCTTAATTTCCAGAAATCAAAGTGTACCATAATCTTAATCCTTTAATTAACTGATATCTTTCAAATTTAAGCTGATCTTTTACAGTTAGATTTAATACCTTTCTATAAATCTTGAGGTTTCGGCCTCTTTGGCTAAGACAATTTTCACATGCTCTGGCCTCCTCTGAGATCTATTCTCCACGCAGTAGCTGTGCGATTGGAAAGCAAAATGCAGAACATAGTAAGGTCTTGTTCAGCTCTGTAGGGTCTCCCATCGCATCTTAGGAAAATCTCAGCTCTTCCCCTGAACTAGGAGTCCGAACAGTGTGATCTCTGTGGCTCCCATGCCCTCTAGGGAATTCCTCCTCCCCCACCCCCGTTGTTCCCTAGACTCAAATCCTCCACACCCCAGGCCTTTGCTGCTGAGGTTTCCTCCACCTGAACGCTCTCCTCCAGACCCACCTGTAATTAGGTCCTTCTTCTCATTCAGCCCTCACCATCTCTCAGAGACACCCGCCCTCCCTGCTGAGTCTCTCTAAGTAAGACCCAGCATTTCCACCTCCTTGCTCTATCACACACCTTATCGCTGCTGTACTCATTCCCATCCTCACTGTCTCCTTAGATGTCTTATCACTGGTGTACATTTTTGTTTATTTGATTCCTGCCAGGGTCTTCCGCTAAACAGCAACATGGGATGGATAAAACTAGTCAATCAAGAAAATGGTCATCGATGGTGACATCCAGGCCCAGGCTGCTGGGTCTGTGTTGGTTCAGGCAGCCAGGGTCTGTGTTGCCACCAAAGACCACGCAGACATCAGGGGTCTGGGCCACCACCTAGGGCCATATTAGTGCCTGAGGATTGTGCCACTGCTGGGGCCATACGGATCTGAGTGAGCCCTTGGTATCATCTGGGCCTGGAATGCTGTCAAGGGCCATGTCTGGGTCCGTGACCTTGCCCCAGCCACGTTCTGTGGTGAGGTCTGTGGCTCCTGTTACCACTGAAGGCAGCGAGAATGGGGCCACACAGAGATGGCTCTGTCCCTCCCTGGCTGCAGCCCTAGGGAAAGTTGGCCTTGCTCCTCACCAACTGCAGCACTCAGGAAAGCAGGCCCTGCACCTTACCTGAGCAACATAATGGAGCTGTTGACTGGGGTGCAGGTGAGCCAGCCATGAAGGTGTGAGAATAGGGGAGCTAGCCCCACTACCTGTCTGTCAGCTGTGGGGAGATCAAGGGAGATATGACCCCTTCACCCCTCACCCCTCAACACCTACTGTTAGTATTCAAGCATCTGTACTGGCCAGACCTTGGGGTGTGCATCCTCAACTGTAGCTACTAAGAACACGTGTGCACATTCACTATGTTCTCCCTTAAAGGGCTCTGCCCACCTCCCACCTCTTCTTCTTCTTCTTCTTCTTCTTCTTCTTCTTCTTCTTCTTCCTCTCTCTCTCTCTCTCTCTCTCTCTCTCTCTCTCTCTCTCCCTCCCCTCTCTTCCTCTCTTCTCTTCTGCCACTCCTGTCCCCAGAGGCTGGTCTCCCCTCCCCTCCTTTCCTCATTCACTTTCCACCAATAAAGAAACCCTCCACCTGAGCTCTGCCACATGGCGTCTTTCTCTTGTGTGCAGCTTTTTCTAAATAACAACACCAACTGCAGTCAGGAAAACTGGTCCCAGGGTCACAGAGTGGGAGAGCCGACACTGCCTACCACTGACTGCAGCCCTCAGAAGAGTGGGCCCTGAACCTTGCCCAGGTAGCACAGTAGACCTAACCCTGTTGACAGGGCCCAGATGATCTGGCCCAGATGATCTGGCCCCGTGAGCATGCATGGGAGATCTGGGCCCATCCCTCATCTGCCATCCAGTGGAGTGGGTGAAGGAGAGATGCCATCTCTCTCCCCACTGCCCCTTGTAGCCTGTGGCAGGTGGGAGAGCTGGCCTCGGGAGCAGGAGAGCTGACCCCTGCCCTCACCAACTACAGTACTTGGGAGAGTGGCCACTTAACATGATCTGGCATCTCCTAGGAAGAACCTCAGTGGCTGTCCAAATCAGGTCAGTCTGTGGGCGGGTCTCTGGGTTGTCTAAATTTGTGTGGGTGTATCCAGCCTAAAAGCAGGCAGCAGCATTCTCTAGGTATGGATAATGTGCTGTACAGAAGGGGAGAATGCAAAATGCATGCATACATCTGTTCTCGTTCTACCTTTGATTGGATGTGACTCGCTGCCTCAAGTTGTTGCTGCCTTGGCTTCCCTACGATGAGAGACTGTGACCCAGAATTATAATCCAAATCATAGCAACAGAAACAAAACTAGAACAACTCCGTATTTGCCGGGAAGTTGTGGCAACAGTGGCTCTGTGACAGGAAGCGAGTGGGGCTGCCTGTTCACATGGCAGCCATCAGGAAGCAGAGAGGTCAGGAAATGGGACCAGGCGCACACCCCAGCAACTCACTTCCTCCAGCGAGGTCCCACCTC